TTATCTCCCTCTCCCTTTTTTTTTTCGTTTTTTTTTTTCGGATTACGAAGATGGCATGTAACGAAACTGAAAAATGCCACGCGGGAAAGGGTCACAATCGGATCGTCTGAACTGTGATCGCACAGGGAGGGGGGTTGATCTCCCTCTCCCTGTTGTTTTGTATCAGATTTGTAATTGCGAAAAATGCGGAACTGAAGAAAGACATGTGGGGAAGGTCGTGATTGCCATGTATGAACTGAGGTCGCATAGGGGAGGGGGTTGATCTCCCTCTCTCGTTTTTTTTTCTTTTTTTTTCTCCTTGCAAATGCAACGGAACTCGAAAAAGCGACGTGGGGGAAGGTCGTCATTGCCATGTATGAAGTCAGATCGTACACGGGAAGGGAGTTTGTCTCCCTCTCCCTTTTTCTTTTCGTTTTTTTTTTTCGGATTACAAAGATGGCATGTAACGAAACTGCAAAATGCCACGCGGGAAAGGGTCACAATCGGATTGTCTGAACTGTGATCGCACAGGGAGGGCGGTTGATCTCCCTCTCCCTGTTGTTTTATATCAGATTTGTGATTGTGGAAAATGCGGAACTGAAAAAAGGCATGTGGGGAAGGTCGTGATTGCCATGTATGAACTGAGGTCGCATAGGGGAGGGGGTTGATTTCCCTCTCCCTTTTTTTTTTCTTTTTCTTCCTCCTTGCAAATGCGACGAAACTCAAAAAAGCGACGTGGGGGAAGGTTGTCATTGCCATGTTTGAACTCAGATCGCTCACGGGAAGGGAGTTTATCTCCCTCTCCCTTTTTTTTTTTTTTTTTTTTTTTTTCGAATTACGAAGATGGCATGTAACAAAACTGCAAAATGCCACGCGGGAAACGGTCACAATCGGCTCATCTGAACTGTGACCGGACAGGGAGGGGGGTTGATCTCCCTCTCCCTGTTGTTTTGTATCAGATTTATAATTGCGAAAAATGCGGAACTGAAAAAAGGCATGTGGGGAAGGTCGTGATTGCCATGTATGAACCGAG